CTAGTAAGCGTCTGAAGCCACATTTGAACTCAGGTCTCCCTGACTCCAGATGGAATAGATTTCAAAGAGGTGGTAGCTGGGAAGGGTTTTTAAAGAGGCCCTGGTTCATCTGGAAGAAGAGAAGGTCAAGGACATCATGGAAAACAATGACAAAACCATGAAGGAAGGTGGCCGAACAGTCCCAGAGCTCAAACTGTATTATAAAGCGGTAATCACCAAAACAATCTGGTCTTGGCTAAGAAACAGAGCAGCAGAGCAGAGGAATGGACAAGGTACAAATTACATAGAGTAAGTGACCACAGTAATCTAGCATATTTTAAACCCAAAGACCCAAGCTCTTAGGACAAGAGCTCACTATTGGACAAAAACTGCTGGAAAAACTGGGAAGTAGTTTGGCAGCAACCAGGTATAGACTAACATCTCATACTGTTTACCAACATAAAGTCAAAATGGGTACGTGATTTAAACATAAAGGGTGATACCATAAGCAAATTAGGGGAGCATGGAAAATTTTACCTGTCAGGTCTATGGATAAGCAAAGAATTCATGACCCAACAAAAGGACCACAGGAAATAAAATGGATAATTTTGGTTACGTGAAATTAAAAAGGGTTTGCACAAACAAAACCAATATAGCCAAAATTAGAAGGAAAGCAGGGAACTGGGGGAATTTTTTTATAGTAAGTTTCTCTGATAAAGGCCTCAGTTCTCAAATATACAGGGAACTGAGTCAAAGTTATAAAAATCAGAGCCAGTACCCAACTGATAAATGATCAAAGGCTATGAATAGGCAGTTTTGAGGACAAAAAAAAAAAACCCAAAGCATTTTATAGCCATAAGAAAAAATGCTCTAAATCATGACTGACTAGAGAAATGCAAATTAAAACGACTCTGTGGTACCATCTCATATCTATCAGAAATGATAAATGCCGGAGGGGATGTGGAAAAGTTGGAACACTAATGCATTACTGGTGAAGTTATAAACTGGTCCAACCATTCTGGAGAACAATGTGGAACTATGCCCAAAGGGCTATAAGACTGCATGCTTTTGACCCAGCAATATCACTCCTAGATTTTTTTTAAAAGGAAAAAGACCTACATGTATAAACTATACGTTAAACAGGGGAGCGACAGGGAAGGACTGCAGCGCTGGGAGAAGCGAGAGTTTGTGGGGGAGATGAGTTTTGTTTTGGACATGCTGGATTTGAGGTGCCAACAGGACATCCAGCTGGTGAAGCTGCTCACATGACTCGTCATCGCAATCTGCGGAAGCCTACTTCGACTTAGCACGCAGCTCACAACACCCTTTGGGTCACCTAACGCTGCTGAGCTTTCGATAAGAATGAAACCAAAACATTTCAGGGCAGGAGCTGACTGAGGAGCTGGAACGTATGAATGGGAAAGGAAGAGGACAGACGTGCAGCAAGATGGAGGGACAAAAGCATGAGCGCCACCCAAGACTGAGTGGAGGGACTTGGGGACGTGGTGGCCAGGCCCATCCTCCAGGAAGGCTCTGGGGGAGGACAGGGCACGAGCTGCCCAGGAAGAGGCGGCAGAGCTGCCGTGGGATGCCCCGGGAGCAAGCTGGCGCTCAGGACCACCCCCTCCCCCACCCTCAGTGGGAAAGACTCAGGAGGAGTTCCTGGAGGCCACAGGCACCAGCTCCGGGGGAACAAAGAGCTGTGTCAGTGTGCGACTCCCAAGGTTACGATGCAAAGCGCGCCCCCCGAGCTTCAGACGGACTGCAGATATCGGAAAACCCACCACGAAGCACTTCCATGACGGCCTCGCTTTCCTGAGCTTCAATCTTTTACCCTCACAACATCCCAATCGCGTAGGAAGGAGAACTCATCAGCCCGGACCAACAAAAGAGGGAAACTGAGACACTGGGTGCGCACGCATGTGTGTGCGCGTGTGTGCGAAGAAACGTGCCCCAATCACTCAGCACTCCAAGCAAGTCTCCGACGAGGCCTGAAAACTGACTCCAGATAGCCTGCCTCCCAGGCCCCAAGATGGTAAAGAAAACAATAAGTGTGTGTATTCATGCTTTTAAAAACAGATGGGGATGAAGCAGCCTGCCACTCTCTTTACTACAGATAATTTTTGGAAACTGGGAAAACCCTGGAGATGTCTTTTGAAAATCAATATGCTATCTTCTATTCTTCATAATTTAAAAGCAACATTTGTCCCTTTCCATAGCAACCCCGTATTTTCTGCAGGGAACAGCCCCAGGTGTGTATACTCAGCGACAGGCCAACGCGATGGGTTCAGCAGGCAACTATTCATTGAGCAAAGCCCTCTATCAAAGTGATAAACCCCAGAAGAAGGCCTGATGGCGATCCCTGGCGCTGGAGTCACTCCCAGAAGCTGGGCTTACCTCCTGGCTCGGCGACTTCTCAATGACCCCAGGAACTGAGAATGCCCTTGCCCCTTCCTAAGGTCTTGGGCTGATCCTCGAGGCTCTCGATCCCGGATCCCAAGAAGCCTCGGGAACCACCATCAGGCCCCTAAGTCTTGCCCCCCCCCCACAAGCCCAAGAATCCATTCTTTCCACGCTCTGCCTCTGAGTTTCCTTCTCCATTAAAGGGGGATGCTTTTACAGTAGAACCAGAAAAGCGGGCCGAAAGCAGGCTCCGAGGCTGGGGCAACACCCGGCCCACCAGAAGGATCCCCACCCCGCCTGGGGGGCTTCCCTCTGCCATCCCCAGGATCCCCGAGGAAGCTCAAATCTTCTGGAGAGCAGGAATGTCTCCGCCCTCCTCAGCAGGCAGCACTTCCGCAGGTCAGGCCCATGTCCTCGGCTACGTGGAGCGCTGCGAGGTCTAACGCCTGCTGAGGCATCATTCCTGCAGCCCTTATTATCACGGAGGTTCCCAAACGGGGAAAGAGGTGCTGCCATGGAGGCGGCACAGGAAAGGGCCAGCTCGCCGCCTTCCACAAGGCCGGGGTCGCCCCCATCCCAAAGACAATGACTTATTGCAGTGTGGGGGGGCTTTCTCCTACTGAAAGCATAAAGAACAGGTGAGATCTTGCTCACTTGGCTCAGGACTAACTCGAATTTTCCGTCTGAAAGGTGTGTGCTCCCCGAGCGGTGCTCCTGATCCCTGGGCCCGAGTTTACAAGGCGGGTTAGGAAGGCGAATAAACTCCCTGGCACGCAGCTCCTCTCGGGAAACGCGACTCTGAGGATTCCCATGGTCCCCAGACTGCTGGCTCAGAGCGTCGGGCTAAGAGTGCTGGGAAAATGACCGCGGCCCCTCCTGGGGTCGCATTCCTTCGTGTACCAGTTGGGATGCTCCGTTCCCAGCCGTGCTAGCCCTGGCCCCTGGCAGCCGGTGAGAAGAACAGACCAAGAGCCTGTGGGTCCCCTGACAACCTTCCCAAGCGGAAAGCCAGAGCCCGTGGTGCCCGGCCCAAGGCGACAGGTGCAGAGCCGCAGCAGAGAACTAGCTCCTCTGCACACCCAGATGCGGCTCCCGGGCCGCAGCTGCAGGCCTGCACGGCCCTCCCCAACGGGCGCATCCTGGGGAGGCGACCCAGCCCACGGCGTTGCCCTCCAGCCTCCTCGGAGCTCGCCCCACACATCACCCTGCAACACCTCCTGTGCAGAACGTCTCCTCGCCTCACACGACTGCTTCGCTGTTCTCGCCTGGATAACAATAAGGACAACACAATCCAACGGTGTTAGTCTAGCGCTTTAACTGCACAAACATCTCATCTGATCTCACATTCCTGAGCCGCAGGTGCTATAAATTAACCCCATTTTACAGATGAGTAAACTGAGGCAGAAAGCAGCTAAGTGACTTGCCCAAAGGTCATGGTCTGAGGAAAGATCTGAACTCTGAACCGGGGTTCAGGCCTCCAGCCTCTCCCCATCCCAATCCATTCTTCATAACTGCTTCCAAGGGGACTTCGCCACAGAGGGCCCGGCCACGCTCCCCGTTCTCTCTGGGATCAAACACAACCTCCTTCGTGGCATTTAGAGCTTCTTACTACCTGCTCTGCTGCCCCTCCTGGCCCCCACGCCCTCCACGCTCATCTACCGCCTCCACGCTATTGCTGTGGTCCACCCTCTGTCTAGAAAGCTCTCCCACCCCGGCGAGGCAGCCTCCACCAACGGGCACTGCCGCTGCCAACAAGCCCCGCCCCCAAGGTGTCCTCCCCCGACCGCTAGGTGAGCCTCCCATGGACGGTTCCATGGATGTGGCTGGTGCACACCTGTATGTACACAAGTTGTTTCTCCCATTAGACAAGGAAGGTTTCACTGTGGTCTCTGTATCCCAGCACCCAGCACGGGGCCAGGCATACAGTAGGCACATAATAAATGCCTGTTCTTGACCTGACTTTGCTGCTTGAGAATAAACTTGGATGCTGCTGCCTGGAGCTTTCTTTTCTCTTTTAATCAATCAAGTGAGCATGTATTAAGAGCTTACTGTATGCCTGGCCCTGGGCTAGGCTCTGGGGATACAGGTAGAAAGAAAGGCAGTACCTGTCCTCAAGAAGCTCCTACTTGAATGGAGGAAAATAAGGCATCAGAGGACGCCAGGAGGGAGTGAGCAGAGAGGGCAGAGAGTCCTCCAGCGCCAGCCACTGAGAAGTGGCTGCCCCGGCACCCTCCTAACACAGAGGCCCAAAGGACGCGGCCCCCAGCACTCAGGGTGCTTCCAGCGCGAGCAGTCCTAAGCAGGGTGGAGGGCCTAGAGAGGGAGGACGCCTCTGAGGTGTGGCAGCCAGAGTCCAGAGAACCCAAAGCCCCATGGAGACCCCCTTCAACTCATCCACGAGTCTACCCAAGGCATATCACCCCCAGGATACGTCAGCCTTCAGAATCAGCGGCGAGGGGGAGTTGCATCTGGAGCCAAAGGACTTGGGTTCGAATCCCAGCTCTGCCATTTATCTCTCGTGCCTCAGTTTCCTCATCCCTATTTCCGGCTCTGCATAAAGGATGCTCCAAGAGCAAAGCTCCACACGCCAGGCCCTCAACCCCAGCTCAGCCACTCACCCCCTGATCTGGGGCAGGCCATTCTGAGCCTCAGTGGTTCCATCTGTGAAATGGGAGCACTCTACGGGCATTCGCACGCCACCTTCCAAAGCCGCACCATCTGAAGGTGGAAGAGTCGTGGAAAGAAGAAAAAAGCGGCCAAGGGAGCCATTCTTCGTAGCCACTGCAGCCTCCGGCAGGGCACCCTCATGGCTGTGCGGGGAATGAGCTGACCCTATCAGAATTACAGGAAAGACCCGTGACCTTCGCTCTCTCCTCCCATTCCCCACCCTGTGAAGAAGGCAGGCAAGGGAAATATGGGGTGAGACTCTCGTAAAACCGACCTTGCCAAGGGAATCCTCGATTCCGCTGGCCCCTCCAGCTCCTTGAGAATCCTGGCCCAGCCCTACCTGAGGTCGGGAGGGATACAGCCGAGGCGAGGCTGGCCTGCAGAGGCTGGCCTCCACTCCAGCCAAGATCCCAGCTTGGAGAGCCCCTGGCGGCCCCCACCAAGCTGTATCTGCTAACAGGGTGCTACGGTTATCGAAGCAAGAGACCGCCACCCACTGCTTCTACAGCGGAGGGGGCTCAGCCAGCGCAGGCGCAGTCCAGGACAGCGGGATAGCGAAGCATATTCCTTCTCCAGCCTCCAGATCCCAAGGACAGCAAGGAAGCTGATCGGGGCTCCTTCCTCTCCTCCTCCACCCCAGGTGTGTGCAAAGGTGAACAGTGACAAAAGGCTGGTTTAAAGTCCTGGAATTCTCAGCAGGAAAAGGATTGTTTTTAAAGACACTGTGTACATTGGCCCAGGGCTGTATTTACCCAGGGCGCATTGTGCAAAGTACTCCAGTGAGATTGGGTGGCAGCCGGGAGAGCTGGGGATGCAGTTTTCACATTCTGGCGGTGAGGCAAGCTCTGTGAGAAGCTTCTCCCAGGGAAGAGACCCCCCTGAGCTCCCACACAGTACTTGGGCATGACATCCATTCACCAAAGGGCAGCAGGGAAAGGGGGCAACATCTCCCCCTCCGGTAGAGAAATGCAAAGCCCCCTGAAGGACAGTGTGACCAAAGGATTTGGGGAAGGGGGTGGGGAGGAGGAGGAACAATCACAGCGAGCGATTCTACAGCACCTACTATGTGCCAGGCGCCGTGCCCGGGCTTTACAGGGATGATCTCACTGTCCTTAGGACACCCCTGGGGACACATACGCCAGTCTGGCTCAATCCAACCTGATGCCTGAAACACAGACTGTGCCGCACAGGGCAACAGGGAAGGCAGCTCCAGCTGGGCAGGGAAGGGATGGGGAGGCAGTGATCTGCCCCAGGCCATGAGGTGCCTCCTCCCCCCTCCCTGCCTCCAGGAAGCTTACCCTCCAATCCTGCAGCTAGGAGCCCCTGCATACCAAGACAGACTCTGGAGAAAGTCTTGACACTTGGCCCCTCTCTGAGATCCGGCTTCCTCCCCCAGGACAGAGCAGGGCCCCGGGGCTACCAAGGACACAGAATTCTCACCAGGCCTCTCTGGACACATTCCCAGCAGTCCCCAGGCTCGAGGACTGAACTCTACTTCCTGCAAAGATGCAGTAACAAAAGCTTCTGTATTCGTCCTCCCAATAAAAAGCATCACATGTTTCTACTCCAGTGAACGTGCCAAAGGAGCCCAGACCCAGGTCCGGCTAGTGGCTGCCTCCGCCCCGAGGGCCACGGCCTGGGCTCCTGCCAGTGGGACTCTGTCACACCTTCAGAGAAACAGGAGGCACCAGCCCTTCTCCGCCCCCGTCACAATGCCCACCGCGGCCACTCCCAAGGGCCACACGTCCTTTTTTCTAAACTGAGGGGAGGCAGCACCCTCTGGCCTCCCGCAACGAGGAAGCAACGACACACCAGCCAGAAGGGAGGGCAGAGACAGGCCGGGTAGCTCTTAAAGTCCCACGTGCAATTTAGTGTAGAAGCCAAAAAGAAGGAGGACACACAGGGCATCTGTGGCTGCACCAGGAGGGTGGGTGGAAAGGCTCACTCTATTTGATGCTTAAAGTCGCAAGAAAGATTGCTTTTAAAGAAAGAAAAGCTAAAGCCCTGGGAGTCCGGGAATCAGTAGGTCCCCCGAGGGGCCTTTTCTCTTCCGCAGGAGAAAATGGAGAAGAGACACGTTCTTCCTTAACTGCTTCACGGCTCCTTTTCTCCTCACCAGGATTCCAAGAACAAAAGATCAACACGCAGACCTGGGTGGGACAAAACTGGAACCCCAGCTTGAGGAGACCTGGGGGAGAACCCAGCCCATTTGTAGCTGCAGGTAAGGAGCCCTGGCCCGTTACTCACCTGCCAGTTTAGCAGAGTAAGAGAAAGCCCTGCCTGAGTATGTCTGTGCCTTTTAACCCTGGCGGCCTCTGCCCGGCAATGCGGGCGACCTCTGCAACAGCACAAGCAGCTGGCAGCACTCAGCTGCTCTGGCTCCCAGATGCCTTCCCACACCAAGAGCCGGATCCCCCGACCGTGAAGCCAGGGTGGCATGCCTGGATCGCTCGGGGCAGCCACATTCCTCTGCTGACCGCCAGACCATCTCCCTTCTCCCGGAGGCGGGTGCCGGCTGCAACAACATGGGGTTTCCTGTCTGTGTCGGGCCGGGTCTGCCCACAAGTCCCCCGTCCAGCCTTCCTTGAGTTCGCGCTTGGCAGTGACAGAGGACTCTCAGAAGGTGTCAGAGGCAAAGGAAGCCCCGGGGCTCCCGAGGGTGCCCCCCCCAGGGCCTGATCCCGGGGTTCCTGGGAATGGGCAGGCACCATTGTTCTCTCTGTCCTCAGAGAGTCCAAAGGGACAGAGGCGAAGCCTTCTCGTACGAAATCCTGGCGCTCGAAACAAGCCGGACAGGGAAACTGATGTTGAAATCCAAGTAAAGATCATTCAGTGAAGCCAGAGACAAACGGAGGCCCAGATCACTTCCACAGACACGGTTCTATGACAAACAGCTGGAGAGCCACAAGCTGAATCCTCGTCCCGTGCAGGTCTCCAGGACAGTCAGGCCTTGCGTCCCTGAGCTGTCAGATGGGAAGGCTGCTACAAACTGGACATCTGAGGAGGAAGACGGGCCCCCCACAGCTACTGCACTCCACAGTTCGTCCGGCGACTCTCAAAATCGACCTCGGCCATGCTGGAGAGGCAACGTCCAAACGCGAGCTGTGATCCAATGTCACCTAGGCGGCCCCTTCTGGGCCTCCGGCTCCGTACCCTGGGGTCCCCCGCCCCGATAACCTCGGGCCTCTTCTCTGGCTCATTCTGTGCGTGGGCACAGTCCAGGGCCTAACAAGTTCTCTGAAACGAGGACCACCGGCAGCATCCTGCCACCAGCTGGACCCAACTGTAGCCTGGCCTCAGCTGGAGGCCTCCAGAGCTGCTACCAAGAAGGAACGCCCCTCGGCCTCTGTTGCATCTCTCTGCTCGGCCAAGGTAATGGGAACTCTGGGGCCTTTTCTTTGGTGGCAGAGGTTTCTCATCTTCTCATGGCAGCAGAGAAGGCTGCCAGTTACTAACAGTGAGTGAGAAAACATTCAATGTGCTCCTGGATGGTGACTGTCAGCGTCCACCCAGGCCTCTTGCCCTTGCCTCCACCAGTGTGTGTTAAGAGACCTTCCTCACTCTCTCCTGGTATTTCAGGGTGTCAGTGGAGGAAGGCACACAGGCACCCAGCGTCTCAGAAGCACCTAGCATTGACTGCTTGCTGGGCACACAAATCCAAGCAGCAAGAAGACAGCCCCTGCCCTCAGAGAGCTTATATTCTACTGGGGGAAGATGGCGCACAAAGAGGAGCTGAGAAGCAGAAGAAGCAGTGAATAGGTAGAGAGAACGCCAGGGTCACAGCCCAGTCCAAAGGGTCTGAAGCAGAGCTGCCTGGCCAGGGGTTCCCCAGAGGGAAGGGCCAGGAAGGCCCCGGGTGCTGAGGGAAGAGCCGGGGGAGAAGGCAGGTGGGTGACACGTCCGCCTCCACCCACCCAGCCCGTCTCCTCTCCCTCTTCTGTGGCGCCATCTTCACTCCTCTTCTTGCCGCTTGCTCCGGGCTGGATGCCACAGTGTGCCCGCCACCAGTGGGCTCCGCCATAGAGACCATACAACACGTCAACAGAGAGTTAGGGAAATGCAAATCGGAACAGCTGAGCTTTGACTTCACGCCAAGACCAAAAGGGATGAATGCCGCGCGGCTGGGAGAAAGAGGCACAGAGTGCATCGTGGATGTCAATGGGAAGTGGGCTGGCGATTCTGGAAAACAGCTTGGAATTCCACCAGAAGCCAGCCGTGCCCACACGAAGCCAAGAGCAAAGGTGCAGGGCCCGTGTGGGCAAAGAGACAAAGAGCGGCACTGCCACGAGAGCCCAGGGCCAGAGGGGGAGCGGACGCTGCCACCTGGGCCTCAGCCAACGAATGTCAATGTTCATCCACCAGAAGAAATGACCAACACCAAGAACTTGGGACCAAATGAATGGGTGACTGCAAGCAGGAGGGGCAGGCTTCAGTTAAGAGGTCCCCTCCCCCCACCGTGTGGCCACAGAGAGCAGGAAGACCGGGGCGGCCCTGCATTCACTGACAGTCAATGAGCTGGTTTTGTCACCTGCTTGTTACAAGGGATGGTTCCATGGGGGAGGGGGAAGTGACAATGATATTTAAAAAAAGAACTTCAATTAAACAGTAAAAAGTAGCAAAGTACCAAATGACATGCGGTTGTAAAGTGTGAACTCAAGAGACTTCTAGATCAGGGCTGGAATAGAGATGGGGGGCAGGGAGGTGCAGGGTGGGGAGGGGATGGCCCCAAGGCGGGGGGGGGGGAACCTCAGGGAGGCCTGGCCCCACCCCAGCTCACCAGTTCACCCAGGTAAGGGCCTTGCCCTTGCCCCAGATCACCCATTTAAGAAGCCTCAGAGGCAAGATTTGAAGGCAGGGACTCCAGGGCGTTTACTCCCAGGAAGGGGGAAGGGTGCTTCTTTCTAACTTCTGGGAGGGGGCAGGCAAACATCCTCCTCTAGTCTTCCCAGGATCTTCCCCATCATTTGGTAACTCTTCTTCTCGACAGCACCCCCAGCCACGTCAGCTCTGGCTCTGCCAGCCCCTCCTGAAGAGGGGTGAGCATGGGCGTGATGCAAGGCTCTGGAGAGGGCTCTGTGCTCAAGGCCGGCCGCCTGCACCCTCTCCGACAAAGCCCCCTGCCCCAGGAGGGGGCAGGCTAGAAGGAGAAGCCCTGGCCAGGCCCCCAGCCCCAGGCAGCTGCTGCCCGCCCAGGGCCTCTGCCAGCTCAGCCTCACCATTTCTGACAATTTAACACAGAAATCCTTCTTCTCCCCCAAACTCTGAGCCTGGCTCCCTCTCAAGCTGCCCCAGGACCTTCTGTAAACACACACGGGGGGCTTGAGAACCCCCCCACCCCCTCCCTTCCGTCCCCTCCCTCCCTCCTTCGGACTGTCTCTGGCTCTCCATGTTCAGGCCTTGGCCAAAGAGGATGTGAAAACGAGAAGCAGTGAGCGAGGCATCACTCGCTGTGTGTCAGTACAGGGAATGCGGGCTCCCACCGTCCTGGGCATGTCTTCAGAGGATTCACAGCAAGACAGGGAAAAGACTGGGCACCATGAGACCGGGTGAAAGGTTTTAAGCTCCCCTCACCCCACCCCAGTGAGATCAGAGACGGGGCTTCCAGGAGCCAAGATGGCGGAGTGAAAAGGCCGTCGCTCTCACCCTTCCCGTCAACCTCTGAAAACCCAGAAAATGTCACCCCAGAAAAAACCCTGGAACAGCTGAACTGGAAGAAAGACGGGGTGCAGCAGTGCAGGAGCCCAGGGAGCTACAGGGATTAACGGGAAAGGCCCCTCTGGGGGCCTGGCGGAAGGGGAGCAGTACGGAACCGGGAGTCGCCCAGCCAGCTAGTGGAAAGGCCCACTTTAGCACACCAGGAGGAGATTCTGGTGCCTCGGCATTCTGCAGCAAATGGGTCTCCCAGTGCCTCAGCAAAAATAAGGGAACCGTCACTACAAAGGGCCCCAGGTGGATAAGCACTCGACAGCATTTGTCTGAAAGGAGATGAAGAAAGCAACCTAGAGGTGCCAGAAAGTTCCAGCCTTGCTGATTCCAGCCCAACACCAGGTAAGCTGTCAGAACCCTACAGCCTCCAACTGCCAACCAGGAGGAGATCCCGAAGCCCAGGTGGTCGAGCAGGCAAACACCAACACCTGGACCTCCGAGTGCCTCAGTGAGAGTGGGGTAACTGGTGGAAACCAGCTCAGAAAACCACCAGGTGCCTTGGCATTCTGCAGCAAAAGAGTCTCCCAGTACCTCAACAGAAATAAGGGAGGCAGCACTGCAGGGGGCCCCAGGCAGATAAACGCCCTGCAGCACCCATCTAAAAAGAGCTGAAGAAAGCTAAAGGAAAGGAAAAGCAGGCAACCTAGATTTACCTGAAAGTTCCAGCCTTGCTGATTCTAGCCCAACACCAGATAAGCTGCCGGAAACCTACAGCCTCCAATTGCCAACCTAAGAGGCCCCAGGACACAAAGCCAGTGACCAAGACCTAGGCTCCCAACACAAGAAGCTTGGGTCGGTGCCCTCTGCTCCCCAGCAGGAGAGCTTAATCTCTTTAAAGGCCAGGGAATAAAGAAGCACCATGAGTGAAAAAGAAACATACTATAGATTCCTATTATGAGAAGAGTGAAGATCAAGACAGAAATTCTGAAGAGGACAACACTGTCATCAAACCCACATCTGCAACATCAAAAGGGAATATGAGCTGGTCGGAAGCCCAAAAAGGCTTCTTAGAAGAACTCAAGAAGGATTTTAAAAGTCAAATGAGAGAGGTAGAGGAGTCCTTTAAAAGCACAATTGGCTAATTGGAAAAAAAGTACAAAATCTAACAGAAAAAAACAATATGTTACAAATTAGAATTGAACAAATGGAGATCAGAGACAGGGGAGTGGCTCAAATTTAAATGATCAACACCCTCAATTTTACAGAAGAGGAAACTGAGGCTCAGGGAGGTTATAGTTATAGGACATACATGTGGTCTCAAAGGTAGGATCTGATTCCAGGGCAGCTATGTGGTGCAGTGGATAGAGCGTAGGATCTGATTCCAGGGCAGCTATGTGGTGCAGTGGATAGAGCGTAGGATCTGATTCCAGGGCAGCTATGTGGCGCAGTGGATAGAGCGTAGGATCTAATTCCAGGGCAGCTATGTGGTGCAGTGGATAGAGCGCCAGGCCTGAAGTCAGGAAGACTCATCTTCACAAGTTCAAATCCAGCCTCAGACACTAGCTAGGTGACCTGGGCAAGTCACTTCACCCTCTTTGCCTCAGTTTCCTCATCTGTCAAATGGGCTGGAGAAGGAAATGGCAAACCACTCCTGTATCTTTGCCGAGAAAGCCGCCACGGGGTCACATAGGGTCGGACATGCACAACTGAAACCACCGCCACCTGACAGCAGAATAGGGGCCCGCTCTGTACCCCCTTTCCCTCAACCTCACCACACAGATCTCCTCCCTCCCATTTACTCTATGACATCTACTGCACCCAGCCTGGCCTTCCTTTTAGAAGAGTTCTGGGGTCTTCCTCCCGCCCTCTTTCCTATTCTGACCCCTGACAAAAACCCGATGTGCCTCAACCTCCCCTGAGGAGCGCGAGATGTCTGACAGCCAGGGCACCAAGTTCCTGTTTTGTCCCTTCCAGGAGACGGAGACACACCTGGTGCCGAGGAGCTGCCCCGGGCAGGACGAAGCCTCGGATGGCAAGGTGGCGAGGTGGCCACCTGCAAGTGGGCAGCGGAGGCTGGGTGTGGGGCAAAGGGCCCTCTCCTGGTCAGGGACAGGTGGTGACAGGGCTGCTCAGTGACTGTCCTGACACGCCAGTTGGCCATGTCACCCCCTACTCAATAAAGCGCAGCGGCTCCCGATGGCCTCTGGGAGCCAAGGCAAAGGCATCGGCTTGGCCTTCTTATACCTCTCCCCACCACTACTCTGACCCAGGGACTCCGGCCTCCCGACTCAGTGATTCTCTTGGCTCAACATAACTCCAGCAATGTAAATGGAAAGAACCACTAGCCCAGAAGCAGGAGGTGCAGATTATAGAGGACAGACAGGGCCCCAGAAGAGGTCCCAGCCCTGCCCTCTCAGAGGTCAGAGGTCCACAGGCGCTCACCACAGCACACGTTTTCAGCCTTTGTCCATGTATTGGTCAATTCTGCTAGTTTTTCCCTCTTCTTCTGCCCCCCCCCCCCCCATATGACAAACAGTAATTTTTAAGCTGGTTAAGAAAGGAGGTGTAATGTATTAACGACGCATTCAACACAGCAGACCAGGCGTCTATGCCTGACTGAGGGACTCACTGAGCCCCCAGGTGATAAAGCCAAACGCACCCCATCTCCCTCTCCCATTTCCTCAGCAGCAGGTGTGGCAACAATGATGAAATGGGGGCCGATGAGTCTGACGGTCATTTGACATGCCAGACAGAGTCCAGTGTCCTCTCCAGAAAATCAGAGTGGTCAGTACGAAGCTGCCGCTGACAGGACTGACTGCAAGGCGGGGGCAAACTGACTGACCTCAGCGCTGCTCCACTGGCCCCACGAGCAGCTCACGCTCCCTCCTTTCAGGCTCACAGGCACTAAGTGGTGCTTCTTAAAGGAAAGGTGAAAAAAACTCAAGTCCATAAGCAGTTTTTCTGCCTTAAAGGAGAGGAAACCAGCAGGCATCCGATGGCTGTGGTAGTTAAAGATGGCACCAGAAACGTCAGGAGAGCTTGCCGGCAGCAGCCGCTGTCTGTCTATAGCAGGCCCGGCCCTCGCCATTTGTCTGCTTCCTGTATGTGTGTCCCACTCGTGGATTCCCCCAACCCCAGGACAACTTCCTAGCCTCATGGCCAGACCCTGGAGGCTGAGCCTCCTCCAGGGGAGAGAGGATGGACGGACGGACACCCAACGGTGGCTGCCAGGGCTCCCCAAAGTTTGGTCTGAAGCGACGCAGGGATGGGATGCTAGCAAAGAACACAGAGGAAAGTATGAGATTCCTTTAAAATCAGATAATAAGCTTGCTCCCCATTCCAGATGAAGCAACAAATCGATCCACTGACAAACATTTATTAAGCCCCGACTGTGTGCCAAGCACTGTGAAAACAGGGTGGAAATCTAAGCGTGCTCTCTAGAAACTCGCACCCAGGCGCACACACAAAATAAATCAAGTGAAGTGAATCCTGTAGGCCGCGGGCTGCCACGCGTAGCAGAGAAGGCGCCAGACTGGAGTCAGGAAGGCCTGACTTCGAATCCTGCTCAGATACCAGCTCTCTTGGCCTCAGCTGCTGTCCTGGCAGGACACAGGGACAAGAGTGGCACCTCCTCACAGGGCTGTTGGGCGCCTCGAGTGAGAGAACATTGGTAAACCCGGGGGCAAAGGCAGGAATTCCCAGGGACCGAAGGATGGCAACGTGTGGGTTTGGAAGAGGACAAAGTCGGGAGACAGAAGAGCCGTGTCTTTGATGCGCTGTATCTGCGCTGCACGCGAGGCCTCAAGGCTGGCCCATCTAGAAGCCGCCTGCAGAGGGGTGAATGGACCCCAGGGGAGGACCCAGGAGGGTGAGGCGTGGAGATGATGCTCCGGTGACACCATCGTCCCTTCCCACCAAACATCAGAGGCCGGCCAGGGATGGCGCACAGCCGAGGCCCAGGGGC